AGGAATAGAGAAGTGATTGTCCCACTGCATGTGGCACTGGTGAGGCTGCACGTTGAGTACCCAGTTCAGTTTTGGGTGCTGCAGTATAAAAAAAGACATTGAGGTGCTGGAGAAGGTCCAAAGAAGGGATCCAAAGCTGGTGAAAGGTCTTGAGAATTAATCTTATGAGGAATGGCAGAGAGACTTGGGGTTGTTTAGTCTGAAGAAAAGGAGGCTGAGGGGAGACCATACTGCTCTCTACAACTATCTGAATGAGGTTGTAGAGAGGTGGGTGTAGGTCTCTTCTCACAGGTTACAACTGATAGGACAAGAGAAAATGGTCTCAAGTTATGCCAGGGGAGGTCTAGGATAGACATTAGGAAAAACTTGTACACTGAAATGGTTATCAAAGACTGGAAAAGGTTGCCCAAAGAAGTGATTGAGTCACCATCCTTGGATGTATTTAAAAGCCATCTAGGTATAGTGCTCAGGAACATGATTTAGAAGTGGGCATGGTAGAGTACGACAATGGTTGGATTTGGTGATCTTAAAGGTCTTTTCCAGCCATAATGATTCTGTGATTTTAATTATTTTGTGATTTAGGAGGCAACACCCCCTATGACTAATTTAAGAGGAATCCTTCATAGTGGCCAGACTAGAATGAAGTGACAGGAGGTCATTTACTTCAGTAGGACATTATTGAATCCTCCTTCAAATCTGCAATGTAAATGGATTTAGATAGATATAGAGAGTAGGAGAGGAACAATCATGTGTGCATTGCAGACTGGCTGAGTAAGAACAGTAATTTTCCTCTTTACTGGAGAGCCGAGTCTAAGGAGGAAGGGAGGCCATTTTACTGAGAAAAAAGTACTTGTATTACTTATGCTGAACTTTAAACTCTGCACTCCTTTGCTGGGCTTCAAATGTCTTGGACAGTGCAATCTCTGTAACATTAGGAAGGCTTAGGAAGGCAACTGACACAACAGTTTTTCTGTTTGTTTGAAAAAAAAAATGGAAGAAATAAAATGTGTGTGTGACTATGGAAAAATCTGGAGGGTGTAGGTGAAGTCTTACAAATTTAGTGAGCGTGAACTGGCTATTTTAAGTGAAACCAACTTTTACTGTTGCTGTTTCTCTGGTGAAAACCACTGAAAGATATTTAACAGTTGTAACAGTACAATTTAGTCTGAATACATACCTCAGCCTGACTGAAATGAAGGTAGCCTCATGGTCTTTATGCAGTGAATATTCAATCTTCGCAACAGAAATCAATACCTTCTCTGCATGTAAATGCTCATCTCACACAATGCCAATAGAACTTTTCTTGTAGACATATACAGGAAATATGTGATATAATGTGATATTACCAATTAACTCAGTGTTTTTAGGACCATTTGCATTGATAGCCACTAGCAGACGGAACTTCAATCCTATTTAAAATTCTATGGTCTCACAGGAAATTAATCATTATTCCATGGTAGAAATAGACGTTGAGTGCAGGAGTATGTTCAGTTTCAAACAGTTGGTCATTACATGAAGAAGGGATGTGTACTGTTCCTTAGACCATCAAAATAGCCACAGAGGAGTTAGCAAGAATAATCCCTTAACCAGGATTCCTAAGCAAAATGACAGTACGGCAGACTGTAATTTCTGATTATCTGAGTTTGTACAGGTTACCTACAGGCTTACACTTTGATGCTCTCTACAGAGGAAAAAATAGTTGTGTATATTTGCCTTTCTCTTCCTTTGAGTTTCCTTTTACTTAAGGTTTCTTTTTAATACTTTATTCCTAAGCACCATGAATGTTTCCAGTCCCAACAGGATAAATTGAATGAAGCAATAGCATTGAATTGCTGTTGAGCTGTTGAATTACCATCCAGCTTTCCTTTATTTCCCTCCATTTATTGAACACCTACTGTTCCATTTCTTAAAGTTTCTTTTTCTGTTCCTTGTTACTTATCCCACTGCTTTGCTCACTCTTTGTGCTTGTGTGACAGAGACAGAAACAAATAAAGGCCGTTTTTGAGATGAAAAGTCCAAGCTTGCTTTTCTTGAGCTTTTGTTTACCTGTTTCTTGCCAGCATGAAAACGAACTGATCACGGTGTGGCTGCCATTGTAGTGTGATGGCCATTTTGGTTTTATACAATGCAATTTCATACATTAAGCTCTCCAGAATTCACAGAAACCGATGTCCTTTTCCTTCAAGTCTTGTAGTGCTTTGAACATCATTCAATTCACTTTCTGAATGCTGAACAGCAACTAAGAATTCCTTTATGAGAGACAGTAAGGAATTAATCCCAAACGACTGTTTATTTAAACAAAGAGAGCAAATGCAAAATCAGAATTATTTTCTCAGTCTCTCTGAAAACTGCAGTTAGAGAAAGGGTAAAATATAATTTAAAGTAAAAAGATGTTTCCAGTGACTGACAAGATTGTGATTTATTCTGTTTTCAGGGTGGAGCAGAACATAATATTCCAGTGGTCATTTCCAAGATTTCCAAAGAACAAAGAGGTGGGTGTCAGATTTATACACTGTGTTTTGATGTGCTCCGTAAAGCAAGGAGATTCTTTAGGAAGTGTTAAATAAATGCTATTGATTTCTCTCTCCATGTCTCTCTCATTTCTTTCTCCATGTCCTCTCTCCTTCTCAGAACTGTTCTCTGAAAAAGTACAGAATTTATATTTGGAATATTTTGTAAACAGACTTTCAAGATGTTTGTTATTTAAAAAAGAAAAAAGTTCATGTGAAGCATTATTTTTAAGGAGAGAAATAGGAATGTATTTTGAGAATGAAAATATTTTTTAAATTTAACAAAATGTAATGATTTTGTGACTTTTATTTCCAAATGGTTATTGCCAGGAAGCTGTAGCAGATCAAATATTTGGCCATTAAAGCATGGCAACACAAGAAGAGAATGTATGTCTTTTTCTGCTGGTTAGTAGGGTAATGCTCAGACAGAGGTGGGTAATGGCAAAACCTTGATAATACCCCTGTATTATTTCAGCATTAGATGCTGTGCTGTGTAAACCTTTGCAGTAGCTCACACATAGCAAAACTGGTACTGCATAAGGTCTTAACCATACTTACTTTTAGTGCATGTGGAGCTGGTGCTGAATCCCTGTATTGTTTTTAACTGGCAATGTTTTGAAATTACAGGAATGGTATAATATGTGCTAGGAAGATAGATAATGATTGAACAGCTCATGATGTGTAGAAAGATGAGAGATGGAGACTGGGAATCAGTAGTAGTACAGTGTATTTAAAATCTCTTATGTCTGTGTATATTTGTGTACATTTGTGTAAGGTCAGAAACATAAACTTGGAAGCATTTCCCACCATCTGTAGTGCAATAGTTCTAGGATCCTTCTTCCACAGAATTAAAATGTGCCAGCAGGGAAAATAACAAAAAAAAATCTCATATTCAGCCACATAAGTAAAGAGAGCTACAGAGGAATCAGCATAATGGGAACTGAAAGCCAGCCTTGAGAGGCAGATGTGAAAGTTGTATGTGGAAAGGCTATAGAGTAGCATGGAATGAGACCCTAAGGAAGGCAATAAGGTTAACCTTAAGTAGTTATACTTGTGACTCCATTCTTTTCACTTTACGTATAAGTATGTAATACAAAATAATGTGGCATATATTACCTACACTAGCTATTAAAATGCTATTAAGCACTGCAGGAAAAACAGAAATGGAGGCTTGAGTTTAATTGAGCCCACAGAAGTGCACGCTGTTTTCTTTTCTTTTTTGCCATAATTTTTTTTACACAGTAGCTGATGCATTGTTTCTGACCTCAGTATCTAGCTGAGATATAATCTCAATTACTGTTTTCAATAAAAATACTGCTAATTTTGAGAGAGCTAGTTTTGAGGGGCATCTCTTGTACAGAAGGAGACTACTGCCTTGTGGTGCAGCAAGTGTCATGTCCATACTAAGGCTTTTTGATACAGAAAATGCAGTTTGACCCAGAGCCTGTACCACAAAGCTCTGCAGGCTTGATTCTGCCCTCTTCCCAGTTGACTCCAGCTCTTTCTTTGGAACTCTAAGCAAGAATGTGACATTTGAAGCAATTCTTAAAACCAATGATGCACATAAGGTATTTGGGCTAGCACATTAGGTCATATAAGAAGTGTTGGAAGAAAAATAATAGTGAGATACGCGTTTATTTCAGAAAAAAAAAATTAGAATGTTTATTCTCCAGTAATTTAAGTATCCTTTGTTACATCTAGGTAATAAGATCAGTTGTTCAAACAAATACTTGTGTATCATAATTTATGTCATTATTTATTCCAGTTTTACAACTCATGTAAATAAGTAAAATTTTTTTATCAAGTCCTATTCTAGCCTTTTCTAGACAGTGTCTTCTCTGATGTTTTAGAATACTATAGATTAATAGTCCCATACAATCTGTTAACATTCCTTAGTTTTCATGTTAGAGTCTATTTATTTCTTTACAGACATTTGTTACATTTCTTGTGTATTTATAAAGTGTATTTACATTAGATAGCTCTGTGACACAATGTTTGTATGTAAAAATTGCAATTGTAGAATTAGATTTTGTAAATTACCTTGTGATGTATGAAGTATAGATTTATTTTAAAAATCAAATTCTGTTTGGCTAACGATTTTGCACAGTATACTGATTGTCTAGCTCTTCAGCATATATAGTGTTATATAGCATAAATATTCCACCACTGATCTTATCAAAGATGCAGGATCTAAAGTATCCTTTGTAAAAGCTTAGAAGTTAAGTTTGTCATTCATAAGTAGCTCTGGAGCCTCCATATTGCAGCCTAGTCCTGCAGCCATTTTCCATTCAGAAAAGTATGCCATAACTTGCCATAATGGTCTGAAAGGTGATCGTGACTGATGGAAGATGTTTCATAGCCTTGTACTTGGGCTAAGTAGACTCTTTCATTGTAACAATGATATGCCATTATCTGGGGTTTAAAAAAAAATAAATCCATATAATCTATTTACAAGTTGTGTGGGGTTTTTTTAAATTAAGTTTGCATTTAAATTTTTAAAAGATTATGGAAAAAATAAATTAAATAGGAATACATGTGCAAGAAATTTGGGATGTTTTATACCAAATGAGTGAAAAATATGCTTTCTGTTTTCAGCGGAACTTTCAGGTTTGCTCTTTATAGGAGATGCAATTCTACAGGTGAGTAAACTTGCAAGTTTTTTTGTTTATGTTTTTCTAGAAAAGTGAAATGAAACCTATACTTATGAAATGTAGAGTAAGTCTTCTCTTTTATCTTTTTGATAACAGATTAATGGAATTAATGTGAGAAAATGCAGGCATGAAGAAGTGGTGAGCTTTTCTGTATTTAAGTCTACTTTATGTCTTTTGTAGTTATTGAGATGATAGTGTATCTTGATAGCAATGTGCTGATAGCAGTTATATTATTGGTTTTCATAAGCAAATATGACTGTACCATCTAACATGGCAAGCAACTGAGACCTTAGTGCAATATCTTCTTCATAGGTTTGTTGTAGTTGCTGTTCTCAGGTAGGCTTTTCTATATTAAAAATGATTACTTTATTATGCAGATTTTAGCTGTACATATTCCAGCATTTCTTCTTCTAGTTTATAGCTATCAAATTTCAGCAGTGCTATGCCTTTCTGGCTGTGTGAGGTAATTTTAATTTCAAAAGCTGTAATTTGCACTGTGTTGGAGTTTTGTTGTTTGGTTAGTTTTAATCCTATTGAAAAATTGAAACAAAACTATTTGTCTGCCTTTCATTCCCTGGCTGTTACTTATAAGGATGCTCTCCTCCTTTGGTTAAGCTGTTATCAGTACCAGTGTAAAAGAACAGTGTATTAAGGAGATTCCTTCTAGGGAAGCTGTGTGTATTTCAGGGCTTTATTGTAGGCAGGTGCCCTTGGTAAGTCAGCTTTGCTAAAAGTATCACGTACTTTCATTATATTTGATTTTTTGACTCTTCTTAAATACTTTCAGAAGTAGGAAAACCCATATTTCATAAAAGAATGCCAGAAATGTGATTACCAAGTTATTTTTCTTTGAATCCTGTGTAGCTCCATAGATTTTGTACCTGTGTTTTTACAATAATGTAACGATGTTATATTCAAAAGTTTACTTTTCTAAAACTTACTTTGCTAATTCAAGGAGTTAATAAAGGTGAAGTTCTTATGAACAAGTTAGTGCAGGCTGAAAGATTAGCTCACTGCACTATTCCTCCTCTCAAAGTGTTTTCAGGCACTGGTTTCGCATTGGAAATTTGTGCTGCAAGTCATGCTTCATTCTTCAGAGCCTTCACCATGCCACCTTCCTTATACACAGGCTAATTACTTGTATTTATAGTACTTCTAGGCTTTGGTTGTACAACAATGATCAGATTTTAATCTTTTACAAGTGTTTGAGGCAGATAAATTTTACGTCTTGATTTATTTAAATTAAATCTTTATTGCAAGTAAGAATAATTCTTAAGGATTAAGAATAAGTATTGAACAATGTTTTAAATAAGATAAAATGTCTATATTACATTTTATAAACTAAAATATGCAGAGGAGTTATAAATATAAAATAAATATAAAAAACTGAATTAACTCGGATAATCTAATTTTTTCAGAAACATTCACTATCACATGTTACATATTTGTGGAGTAAAATTGTTGTAAAGCCTGCTTTACTAGTGGTAGATATGGTTATGCATTGTGCACTAATCTGTAGGTTTAGCCATATCCCTGAGTAAAGGGAAAGTACATCAATGGGTCTGCCCACAGGAGTTAGAGGTAGGATTTTGTCTGCAGTATGCCTTCTGCAGTTTCAGTTGTTCTAGCCCTTCTGTCTTGCAGGTACTTAATAAAATACAGAATCTGTAGCTGTAATCTCAGGGTAACAGAGAAAACAGGAAATGTGTGGAGCACAGTTGCTCACAGCAGGGAGTCAAACAGTAGGGGAAACCTAATTTTCAATCCTTATTGCATCTAGGTACTTTTCAAATGGCTGTGCAAGGTACATGAGCTCAGAGCTTTGTTTCTTTTTGTTTTTTTTCTGTATCTAATTAAGACCTAGCAGGTATCATATTATGTAAGAATTTATTGGTGGTTTGGGTTGTCTTCATGCCATAGCAAATATTCATTGTAAACCAGCCAGGATTTTTTTTTCAGTGTATAAAGCTGAAGATACCCATAGAAGATTCAAACATGTTTCTGCAGTGTGCATCCTATGAATGTTCATTCTTTTTCTAGATCCAAAACTTCTTGCTGCTTCTAGAAACATTTTAAGCATATGTCATAACTTCATAGTTCCGCAACGAAAAGACCTCGTATAATCACTGCAACCTATTGTTTTACACTGATGATTAGCTGGCTCTGGTATTTCACTGTGCTTTACTGATAACAATACCATGAATATAAAATTATTTGAATTTCAAAATTAAGTAGTTTAATCAAATTAGTGCCATCTTTCATAGTAGGGAGAGTCTTTCCCCTATATATAGTGAACCTAGTTGGCTTAACATTTGCGGGCACTCCTTTGATGTCTTTATTATCTGCCATTAGGTATTAGATCTGGTGATGGTGTTCAGTGATGCACAGATCCTGTTACCCAAGGAATATACTACAGTCTGAAGCCTGAATATAACAGTAAGATAGTTAGATACATACGTACACGGATAGATAAGTAGATAGATTACTAGATAGGTAAGACTCTTATAAAACTGAATAGGTAAGTTTAGTCAGTTCTTAGTGTACCTTACTGGAAGCCTTTACATAGTTCCTTTCTGATATTCTTTTAGCATTGAGTTGCTGCTTGTAGAAAGTAACAACATTATTCATATCATGAAAGCACATTATGAGTTTCTATCAAAGGCTGAATGCCAGCTTGTTTGTCTTGGGATTGTAAAGACTCCCATCTGAGTACAGCATAACATTGCTTCAGTCTTAGTGTCCTCCTATGGAAAATAAATACATGCTCTCTGTGGTGAAATGTCAACATGGGAGGACATTGAGGGGAAAAAAATATCTAGCAATTCTCTTAAAAAATATCTCTCAACTGTATACTGGCAATTTGACTCTAAAATGCAGTGTGAACTTGAATGTAGAGGTAAGGAGAATCCATTTTATCTGTTAATTTACAAGAGTTTGTGCTCTTTCTACTCTGGATTTATTATTTATTCTTTTCCAGTAGTCTCTCCTTCACATTTTATAACAAAAATTTTTAAAGGCCAAAATTGAGAGTATGCATAGACAGACCTACAAGTTTAGGCTAATGAATATGAATAGGAATATATAATGAATGTCTAATGAATATGGTCCAACAATGCATAACTTGTCAGTCCACATACCTGTTCTTTTAAGGGCTCACAATGGATATGATTATTCATAGGGCTGATTATTCATACACTAATGTATTTGTATTCTGGAAACTAATATATCTGTAACCCTTTCCTCCATTTATTGTCCAAGCATAAAACATAAAAGATAGATAAGCAATCACCAAAATAACAATGTTCTTGTAGCACATTTTTGTATGGTTGTGGGTCTAGCTACTCCATCACTAGCAATGGACAAATTTTTGGGTAAGAGTGAAAGGCCCTGCTGTGAGCTACTATTGAGCAGCTTGGAGTAGGACAGTATGAGTCAACTCAGTTGCATACTACCAAGAATCTTGTGTTGGATCTACTGCTCTTACTGTTTCTAGGGTTATAGTGCACCAAAGCATCTGCGGCCCACAGAGAATGAAGTACTTCAGTCAAAAGAAAGCTGATATGTTTAAGATTATGTCTCTCTTCTTGATGCTGTGAATAAAGCATCTCAGGTAGTACCAACAACTATGATTATGTATCACTGGGATTTCATATGATTTTTGCATCTATTTTTCTCTTTGGAAATGAAAACAGAATCAAGTGAATATGGATATGAAATAATTTCTTATTTCTTGTATTTGGGGAAAATTCAGGGAATGTTTCTAATAAAAAATGATAGTTCGCATGTGCCAGTTAACGTGGCATTCATGCATTCCTTGGAAAGCAACATGAAAAGCTCATATAGACCTAGGGTAGGTATCAAGACAACATAGATTTTTAGACTTTAGTGGATTTTATGTAGAGCTAGGTACAACATGTAGCACTGTGTTTCAATTCAACCATCAGCTGCCTGTTGCATAAGACAGCTTTTTGCACCAGAAAGACCTGACATGGGATGTTGATGTGCACTGCATTGTATCTTTTGCTTCCCTTTTTTATCTGCATTCATAGCAGGGCTGTAGCTGTGGTAGCTCTCCATGAGTTTCATATATGAAACTGACAGTATAGGGGTTATAGTTGCTTAACTGCAATCATATGCAGCAGATGAAACTGTCACACTGATTTTTTTTTTATTTTAAAACTGTGGTTTCATTCAAGCTGTTTTTTAAAACCCATTATGAATAGTTTCGGTAATGTTGTACAAAATTGTTTTTAAGCAGAAGAGTGAGCATGTTGTATATTGTTAGGACTGGAAACCAAATTATCTCAGTTCTCACTCAATCTTGACTTTGCAGATGTGTCTTTTGGTAAATTATGGGTTTATGTTATCTTTTTTTTTTCCTTAACTGTGAAACAGAGACCTGAATTATTATATGATTTAGCTCACTTCAAAATCTGTTATAGAAAAGGATCTCTACATTAATATTGTGCTGTTTGGTGATAGTGGTAACAGCAACCTGTAAATACACATTACCACCTTCTCATATTATATGCAAGAGAACCTGTACTGTATAACTCATAGCACAGCCATTTAATCCTTTTACTTCTAGACTGAATTATGACTTTAAATATTGAAGTTGCATAGTCAGACCTTCTAAGAGAACATAATCAATCTGCAATTTGTAATTTCTGAATTTAAAAGTGAAATGTAAACTTTTTGAAAATCTAATATTTTCTTTGTAAAAAGAGGCAAAGTTACTACTTTTTGATACAGCTGCTGTTTTCTACTTGAGACTTTAGTAATAAAAAAGTGCTAACGTCACCTTAGTTCCCTGGTGCAATTAATGAAAACATCTGTTATAAGGTATTTAAAATGTCCTTGTTGTTCATGAAATTTGGAGCTAATAAGAAGTGAAATATTTCAACATTGATGTGAAACAAGTGTCCAACTAGTGGAAAAGAACCTAGTAGGTATAAATAAATAGTTTACTGTTTTTTTCCTGTGTGGTGAAAATTCCTTGAATTAGGATATATCCAGGAGCAGTATTCTTAACATTTATTAATCTGCTTTTTAGCTGTGGTTTTAGCCATGTACTTTCAGTGTTTAAGTAAATAATTTTTGTGCCAAACTCAGTAAAGGCTTGAATTTATTCCAGAACT